TTTATGCATTATATTATGTAGTCTGCTTCCAGTCTAGTGAATATCTTTTTTCCCTTACCCATCATTAACCATGCATATTACTAGAAGAATACTTTTTTATGTCCCAGATACTCAGAATGTCTTATAATGGTCAAAGATCTGGATCGCAGAGGTTGAAAGGTCAAGAACTTTGTCTACACGTTCTCGAGGGGTATCAGCTATGAAATCGAAGACGCCAAACTCTGTAAATCAAGTGCATCAAGTAGTTTGCTGTGCTAATTATCTCTATTTATCTGATTAAAGACATCGTATTTTACTCTCGACCTTATAGTTAGTACATCAGATAATTCAATAAAAATTTGATTGATAACTATTCCAGACTCACTTCTGTCTTCAACTTAGCGCAAACGGTTAGCTAATTGTTCACTCTTGAATTGCAAAACGCGGAAGCTTAACAATAGAAAACCTCCTTCACCATTAATTCCGATTTATTTTTACATAAAAGAGGGTACAATTTCATGAAATTTAAACGTTTGTTTTTCTTCTAAACGTACTGCTAAATCGTCAATTAAATTAACGGTATAGTTCCAAGGTGTCCCCTCGAACTTTGCGAAGACCGATAGTTAATTGCTTATTCTTGATTTGCCAAACGCGGTGGATCAACAAAAGGAAAATCACTTTTACCATTAAGCCATATTTATGTATACAAAATTGAGGGTACAATTTTATGAAATTTAAACGATTTATTTCCTCACGAATCGTCAAATTAATTAACGCTATGGTTCCAAGTTGTCTTTCTGCCACTTGTCATGACCTGTCCCTAATGTCACAATCTGTGTACAAAAAGATGTATGAGAACAATCTGTGTACAAAAAGATGTATGAGAACAATAATAGGACCCCGTAACATTATTAACAAAAAACTATTAAATATTCTCGTACAGTTGTCAAGTATTTTGAAATTCCAATATGCACTCATTATTAAACAGCCTGTTAGTTGGGCATCACTTTCCAAGTCAGAGCAATAGAAAGAACATTTATCATTCAGGGAAATTAATGAAGAATATTTGCACCGCGATAACTCATTGCTGTGAACAGTTGGCGCCCTTTCAGATACGGGCATTACATTTATACAGCTAAAAATAATTGAATAGTTTGCACAAAACAATCCGGAATATTTTTAGAGACTTGATCATTCCGTGGAGAATAAAGTGAAAACCAGAATGGCGCCACCGACAGCGCTGACTTCGTGGTGGGAATCTAGAAAAAAATAAGAGAAATAATTTGTTCCGTCAAATTTCGAGACGTGGCCATAAATTTGTCGTGACGTATTTGATTCGTCGACCAGTTGTGCTGTCATCCTATGCCAATTTGTATTCTTCACGAGTTGGGATCTATAGCGTCTTCGATCTTTATTGCTTCATGACATTTTACATTCCACGTCCTGGTAATTGATCAAGATTGACCAATCCGACAATTTTCAATCTATTCAATTATTTCCTTTCGCTTATACAATAATTAAAAATAACAATATAGGCAACGAATCGTACTCCCACGGTCGCTAAGTCATGCAAGCAGCCCATGGATGTTGTTGTATGGCGATTCTTTAAAAGGTAACTAGAGCATATACATAATACTAAAATGTGATCAAGAACAACAGCCCATAACGTAATTATCCGATATTGTTACAATTTTATAAACGTCTTCCTCATACTAAACAAAACATTGATTAATGTCAATCAGATGATAACATAGCGCCGCGGTAAGGCTGTAAACAGTACACAAGGGCAATAACGTTGGCAGTAATTATCGAAGATCGATGAAAATCATTGCACCTCTTTATCCCATGAACATAAATACTGCATATAAATTTCAATCGGATAATAAATGTAACTACTACACCGCTTGTACGATTTTTCAAAGTGATCAAGGTGAATAACTCGGAGAGTAATTATCGAAAAATCGCTGAAAACCAATAGGCAAGACGCTCGAGCGATATCTTTATCCTCTATAGCGGCCAATGGTTTTTCCAAGAACAATAATTTCAAAGGTATTTATCGAAAATTTGAATTGTTTGCTGACGGAACGAGTGGACCGACGGACACTACGAACACACTTAAATCTAGGTGTATAAAAACAAAACGATCCCATCACCCAGACGGAACACCAAATTTCAAGATGAACCTATATTGATGACAATTATGTATTGTTTAATGGTCGAGAGCGAGACATTTAGTAATGTATTGAAACATCACGAGGGCCGCGAGGCCCGAGTGTTGTTTTAATATATTACGCAATGTCTTAAGCTGGAGACCATTAAACAACTTAAAATACAGACACTCCACACGTGCTTTTACAGTGAAATACGTCGTCCAATATTTCACTAGTAAAAATAATGTACGATTGGCAAATTGCCCGTACGATTATTTGAAATAATAGTACGCCAACATCAAAGGGTGACGTCACATCTGTATTTTAATATCTGATAAATAGAGCAAGTCCTGGTGTAAGTAATTCTAGTCGGATATGGGTTTAGAATAAGTAGTGCCATCGTCGATTTATGAGGGAAAAGAAACGCATACGATCTCGGATATTATACTCCAAGGATATTGTAACTGATTAACTAAGTACATATGGGACTCTAGTGTCCACCTTTGTCTGTTAATCTGGGAACAAAATGGTCCAGATGACAACATTGGAACCGAGTTTACCGAGGTCAAATGACACCTATGATCCGTCTACCCTCAGACAAATGGCGTAGTGAGAGTTCTTTTTGACAGAAGACACATTCGGTGTAAATGAGCCCGTCTTGAAAAGTTTCAGAACGATTTATTAAACGTTATATGTGATATTCCACAGGGAATCAATGGCGACCCAAGTCTGGACTGTCATCAAATTGAAAACTTGTATTTTATAGCTGTTAATCATCTCTAATGGCTCCTAAGTGGATATTGAGTAGTGTACTTTAAAGGACAGTAAAGCAGCTGGCGTGTACAGAAAGGTCGAAATGAAATGAAGTGGGGTTTAACGTCTTGCTTTTCTGCACCGACTGGGCTAATGAAGACGGGCATCGTGCCATTCAGTGTTCTTTGAAGCACAGTTTGGCCGAAATTCTAAGGGCAAAGGTTTCTTTTACGTACCATCCGAACGACTAGACACTGTCCTTGCCAGGCCCTCTGTCCCGTATCATTCACAAGAGCAAACGCCAGATCTCATTAACGAGCCATCGTCTTACTCACAGAGCCACCACGGCTCCCGCACGTGATACCACTTCTCATTTAAGAATGTTACTTAGCTAAGAAGTTGTAATTTTCTGGGACACCCGATACCACTTGTAATATATTTGGAGAATTCGCAAAGCAAACAAGTTTGGATACGATTATCTAGAATTATGTGTTCTTCCTCTCACGAATCTAAAGAACGTGTTAAAATCGTATGATAAATGTAGTCTGTAGAGTGTGAAATGAAATGAAATGGGGTTTAACGTCCTACTGTTCTGTCTAAACTGGGCTAATGAAGACGGGCATACGCCATACAGTGTGCTGTGAGGGAAATTTTGCCCAGGCAGCGGCGCTACGGCCTACTCTTATATCGAATTCCAACTGCCAAGGGATCTTTTACGTGCACGTCAATATGGACACGGGACCTCGGTTTTTCGTACCATCCGAACGACTAGACAGCTGTCATGTAGAGTGTACACGACGACGCTTCGACCGACGAACAGGGACGACGGCAATATAAGACCATATGTTAATACCCTTCCATTTATCTGATCTTTTACACGGGGTACTGCTGTGTAAGGATGGGTTCTTTGCCAGTGCTAACTGATATCGGTCAGATCTAGAGTTGGGCACTGACTTATTGAGGGATGGAGGAGGAATAATATCCGATCATTTAAAGGATCGGGGAATTTAAGTCACTTCGACAGCTCTGAAATTTAACGTATTTGGAAAGTGGAATTGTTGAGACATCCAAAGATACTGTTATTTATTGAAGGGATATAGGTGCTGTTACTCAATTCTGTTTACTGTACATGGACAAATACTAAATGGAGTTTTCCACTGAACGAATTTTACTTTACGCCTATCTAGAAAAAAAACTATAGGGTATCTAAGAATTGAAACTATATATTCAGCTGCCTCATTGTCTGCAAGATAATTGTTTCAGAGACAAAGACGAAGTGGCTAGCTTTTCTGGGCTCAAGTCCTGGCCAGCGTCTGCCAAATAGCCATCAGATACCGGGAATATAATATAGTCAGAAGATATGGGCGGAGTATTTGTTTGAACCCAGACCTGTTAACATGGTGTTCAGTCCCGGAAATACACCCAACCAAGCAAGGGTAACGGTAGCCAACGTGATATTAGTGGACATTTGCTGCTCTAGTATAATAAGTACAGAATGGTTTGGTATCCGACTTGTCAAAGGGACCTTTAGGTCTTAAGGGCTGTCGTTGATTCTGGTGGCGTAGTTTTGATCTCAGGCCTGTACCTGACAAGAAATATGGTGGCCGGTCTAAGCTCGTGGGTTACATCCGGGTTTCCCCATGTAAGTCTCGAAATAGCCTCGTTTATGTTGAGTGGAAAACTATTACAGAAAATATCTGGTTGCTCAGAGTTAAAAAGGGAGTAAAGAAAAGAAAATATCGCTTTGGTTGTTGATCATCTCCACTTACCCTCCTCAAGTTATTGAAATCCCTTTATCGTCACGAGATTCAATAAAAGAAACCACCTGGCACATTGTTTAGTCATTCGCGGAAGTGTGTCACCACGTGAACATTTATACATATTGTTTTACCAGGGAAAACGGCAATTTGGAGAGATCACACTAAGTCTAAACTTACGCTGCATTTATATTGATTATGTTCTGTGGAAATGCGTAAATTATTTGAAAAAATGGTTGGGAGAATCGGGAAAAGTGGAACACTAATTTCTCCTAATAATCGATTTAAAATCTGAGGAATAAGATACAATTAGGATAAAGCTGGTCACGTAAACAAATGAACATCTCGCTTAATTGGAATTAAAACTTTTATTTAAAAACAAAAACAAAACAACAATCAACAAAGTATTTAAATTAATTACTGTAAGCATATGGAACGAAGTAAAATTAATATATTAAATGGATTTCTTAACATACTATAGACATTACTAATAGAAATTGTGGAACACTTGGATAAAATGGTATCTTAACGTTACATTCTGTTTCAATTAAAGATGCATTATGTAAGATTTAGATAAAGAGCTGGTCGTTCTTGCTATAATAATTTAAAAATAGATTATAAAAAAGGAACAATTCCAGTCTAATTACCTAAGCGAAATTTTGAATGTTTGCAGTTATGACAAGAAGTAGCCCAAACAATCTCGATTTTCAAGCGTTCAATCGGTAATTTCCGTGAGTAACGGCTATCTTAACATTTAACGAAGATATGGCAGGCATTGTCTAACCGCTCAATATCTCAGCCATACGATAGTCTAGAAAGTTGATTTTGGACTTGTCATGTGAATGAATGTCTAAATAATAAGTCATATAATATATAAAAACACAATAAAAGACCGGCAATAGGACGATTTGGCTCGTACATAATGCATCTGTAAAAAATAACCTTAGCACCATAAAAAATATAATTCAAACAATAATTAAAATTGTTAATTTTCACATCAAGTACTATCTTTTGTAATATATTTTTCTGTTTTCAGTTTTAACATGATTTCGTCGAGCATGAGCGATGCCATTGTATTTGAACGACCAACAGTAGCAAAACATTGCCTTGGGAGTTCATGGTCGGATCTTCACAAAAGAAAGAACACAAATAATACATGCGAACAGTGGATGGGGGAGTATACATCCGATTCCACAGAAGTCTCTCGAATTATAATGCTCTTTTGTTTCTACCGACAATAACTTTTCCATCGATTCATTTATTCAATGTAAATATAACTGATTTACGGAACAACGGCTCCGAGCCGTTGCGCATAGACTGAGTAAGGGTAGTAAGCACTCAGCGGGGAGAATGGTTGTCCTGCTGAAGTAGTAGCTACATTTCCAAGGTTCGACTTGTAAGGATGAAATCGACTACTACCTAATATTCCAGGACTAAGACTAGTTGGATAGGCTCTACGCAATGCACTGGGACTAATGGGTGTAGAGCCCCCTAAATGAGTTAAACCTGCAGAAGCCGTTGAAAGACCCGAAGGTAACGGAAGTCCATAACCAGCTGTTAAACCTGATTCTATACTCGATGTATGACTTCTTAAGTGTTGCATGAGATCCTCTGATGAATTAAACCGTTTACCACAATAATCATGTCCTGAAACCCAGTTACACACATATGGTAGTCCTTCATGGGCACTTAAAGCACTATGAGGATGGGCATAAAGAGCATGTATAGATGAAAGTCCTGCAGCACTAGATGGTAAAGATGAAAGTTGTGGATACAAAGACAACGGATTTCCGGCAAATCCCATGCCTGGCGAACCAGTAGCTAATCCTATTAAAGCCTTTTCATGAGCACACTGGGAACATCCAGGTGTTTTACAAGTGGTTGATGTATGTGCAGTCTGAAGAGTTAATTGACAATTTGTACAATATGGATCTTTACACACCGGTACAAGAGTTGTAGCACCTGACGATGTCCTAACCCGAGTATAACTCACATAAGGATTCATTGGAGAGGTGGCAGCAGCACTAGCTTTAAGAGCAGGTTGTTGGGAAGACGATCCAGGGTATCCGTATATTCCAGACTGAGCCAATATTTGTGAATGGTATAAAGCAGCTAATTCTGGAGTTAATCCTTGGCCAAGTAAAGACAGCCCAGGATACCCTAACGAAGCAGCTGATAAACTAGGGTATCCCGAGGAACTAGATTGCTTTAATCCATAAGGGTAGGCTACGTCATGGGACAGACTAGAAGATGGTTTAGAGTGGATTGGGCTAGAGAAACGAAGTGGGGAACCAGAAGATTCACTAGATTTCGAACTAGGTGGAGAGAGTCTTGGAATAGAGGTGGAGTCTTTTTTGGTTTCATGTTCGGGTTTAACAATAGTTGGAGTCGGGGACTTTGTTTTTATCCCAGATTGATCCTTATGATGAATCATTCTGAAGCCCGGTTTCTCCTTTTCTTGTTTGGTATCCTTCAGTTCATTTGGTATTGAAAGCTTTTCGGGAGATTGTCCATTTTGAGTCTTTTCAATTTCTTTTTTCTCGACTGATTTCAGTACAGGTTTTGCAGGAGGGTTGTCTTTGCCGATAGCATTGCATGTTTTTGCCAACAAGGCAAGGGGGCTTGATTTGGCATCAATCTGTAAAGACAAACAAGAAACATGTTTAAAATAAAAACGAGGTCAAAATGATTCCGTGTATTATCTCCTTAGCTGGTTTAAACTTCGAAAACCTTTCACCTTACCCGAAGTCGCGGAATCTGGGTAAGCGTGTTCTGCTTTTCTCTCTTAGGGGCCCATTGCTAGACTGAATATTCAGAATACCTCTATAGTAAATTATGATGTTAGCCACTAAATGCAATGTAAACAAGATAACAACCAACGACACATCAAAGAGGCTGTTCTACCACAATATTGTATACTCAAGAAGCAAGGGACCGTTTGGTTTAACAACCACGCCCTCGCACCAGGTACTTTGTGACCACGGAAATCGCACTGTGGCTCAAGTGGGAATCAATATATGCGTTCGCAAATACACGTTTACTGCTGATGACATTTGAGAGGGTATTATATGTTCAACTGGTATATATGATAGACTGTAACCTTGGTTTCAAGGCAATAGTCAGTAGGCTAATTATATTTTATTCTCAACAATATAACTGAAGAATTGATTTCGATTACACTTTATCGAGAAGGTTTTGTGTGCGTTGCTGCATCCTTGTCAGATGCCTGTCCTATTGTGTGGAATTGATATACTTATGGATCTTTAAAGAAATATTGCTGAATAGGAATTGATACACGAGTAGCATTTACTCGTTTACGTCAAAATATTCCCGCCGTGAGTTCACGAGGTTTTCATTAAAGAAATTAACACGCATCACTCAAGGAATTATTGAATTGTCGGCCTTGAAACAAAAGTGACAAGACAATCATTAGATTTGTATGAAGATTTCGACGGCTGTATTGACTGAAAACTGAGCAAATATAAAATGGTGGCATGTTTCAGCACTTGACTGAAATGAGTTTCTGCCAATCATGTCAAATGTCTGTTAAATAATTCCCATAACGCGACTACAATCAGCTCGACAAGTAGCGGAAACGTCGAAACAACAAACTAAAAAGCCTTTGATATGGAAAGGCCAGGATATGCAGACGAAGAGACGATCGATATACTCCGATCTTTGCTTGTTCACCGATCAATACAATATGCTTTATAAAAGGGGTGTCGGAGATATATCAGCCAACGACTACTAACTCATCAATAACCACTACACATCTACAGACAGTGTGTGTTGGGCTTGTACGTTGATTATGAAAACGTACAGTGGGTAAGAACGGTCTGATTTCATTTCTAACACAGAAAGGAGATAAACAGAACGCACTTGATCTACTTTCAGGCATTCAATTGGAAATATGTACCCCCAGAAATGTCATAATATTATTTCCACTCCCTGGATAGCCGTATAATGTCTACAGCGACCATTCGGGTTACGACAGGCCGGGTATTGAATTATAAAACAAATAGTAGAGAGATTATAAATTCGCTTAATATCATATTCCTTATTTCAATTCTATTTTAAGCAACTATGCTGATTAACAGCCACGTGTGTTTTAATAAACTCTCCCGCATGTTCTCCAGCCACACGTGCGAGTAAGGATATTTCACAACGCGAAACCTGCTGCCTCGACGCATGTGCGTTATCCAGTTGACGTATATTTCACAATACACAACCACACCCCCTTATCACACTTCAATTCATCAATTTAAATAAAGTACACATGCACAGCGACCCGGGTCTCTCTCAACAGCCCCTAATAGAGCAACTCGGCGTATAATTATTCTTAATATGGAATATCAAAAACATGTTTTACATTGTTATTTTGATACAAAAAGTTAGCTAGGATATTAATAGGAGACTGCATGCATATTCAGTGGTTTATCGTTACTAGTAAGAAGCAACAAGATCGATTTGTCAACAGTTTGGATGTCTAACGTTTGTTGTTCTTAGTGTTTAATGTCCGCATCCACCGAAGGTGATATCGCAGACAAGTTGTCCTTTTTTTATTATTATCTTAGGGCACCCGCAGGGGTCTTTCCTGTGGGAGGAAACCGGAGTACACGGAGTAAACCCACGAGGTTGAGAAGGCGCCCCTATCTCCAAGCCACATACGCTCACACCAGGGATCGAAACCACAACTACAAGCCAGAGGTGACCGGGCAGCTAGAGGTCAAAGCGTGACACTCTAGACCCACTAGGCCATCTCAACCCCCATATGTCTAACTTTTCGAAACCATGGGTTTAAATAGTCCAATCACCACGCCTGGCTCACTCACCATGGGGTCTATGGTTCGCTCTCGGTGATGGCCAAGAAAGTTTCTCTTCATTTACCGGTGCGGAAGACCTGGTAAACAAAGTGTCTAGTAGTTCGGCTGGGACGAAAGACCGAGATCCCCTGTGCACGTAAAATAAGCCTTGACAGTTGGAATTCAATTGCTGCCCAGGCGAAAATTTCCCCCATAGAACAATAGATTGCGTATGCCCGTCTTCATAAGCAGAAAAATAGGACGTTAAACCCCATTCCATTCAATCGTTATTACAGTTATGTACGCTTCCCATGATATTTTCGGTGGAATGAGGTGTGAGAAATAAAGAAGTATTAAAGAAACTTACTGGTGATTGGAGAGGATTATAATAGTCTGGATGAATATATGGTGATGTGCTGTTCATTTTGTTGATCTAACTAAAATATCTCCTTCAATTTAATAAACTAACACAAATTAATCCGACAGTTTAAGTTACTGGATATCCCACAGGTCAAATATTGACCCCAAGTTGTCAATCAAAGGGCATCAAAGTGCGATATCATCTGAGTAATAATCTGCGATAAGTTGATAACACGATATTCAACTAGAACATGGTATGACAATTTAATCCAGTAGATACCAGTGGCTTAAAAACAATCCCTCTCTCAACAAGCTACACGGTGCGTTGTCAGATCAAAATACCATTACTGTTTTGTGTTTGTGTGTGATTATTAGAAAAGTTTGCGATAAGTTTATCCGGTGCAATATGCAAACACATTAACTTTGTTTATTTGTAATAGGTGTGCTGAATAGCCAAAAGTTTATCCATGTATACTAGTGCAAAGAATCAAGTTGCGCCATTGTTTTAAAATGTCTACTAGTTGATAGGTACACAAGTTGTAAAATAACAAAATAAAGTTTCTCCAACACACGTTGTTAGCCAAGTCAATATTTTATCTAACCTTTAGTTAGTGATAACATCAATGTAACTACATCCTATATACACACTCCCCCTTGTCAATAAACCGGTAAATATGGCGCTTCCTTCGTCTCTCATTGGCTCTCCAAACAACAATGGCTGACTTATTTCTGGCATTACGTAGTCTCGTACATCTTGTCAGTCTATCAAAAACATTGCTATGTTTCATCAAGGCTAATACTGTGTAATCAAGACAATTTTCAGCGAGGCGAGATAACTCTCATAGCTAATCAAAAAGCCCGGATATAATTACTTGGAAACGCGCCAGGAATTCCCCTCTTTGGACTATCAATCATTTTGATGACCTTCTTGTCAATCAAATGAGATTGATGTCGCCGCGTGCTAGTAATGTATACTTTGTATAGCAGCAAGTAGGAGATAAAAGACTATCAGAAACAAACAATAAATATGCCAGTATCATATCTTATAATGGACTAATTGTTGTTGACCGGCGCAGACCTCATCAAGTCTTTGCCCCTATCGATGTGTCTTATAAAGGAAGTGAACTTTTTCCAATTTCGTTTCCGTCAGATAAATCTTAGCAGGTTCATAGCACTAACGACCCTAAGCCACTAAATATTTCATTCCTTAATTAGAAGCAGTTCAAAAAGACGCATTTGCGTGTTTAACTTTATAATGGTATCATTAGTTCCTATTAACACTAGTGGATTAGAATTTCTGAACTTAGTCAATGAGCACGACAAGAACTTTAGAATTCTATTAAAAGTTAGATAATACTGTAGTAACTAACAAAGATAAAGTCGTAAGAAACTGTTAAATCCCTAGCGACAATATCACTGACAAGAGCATTAAAATCATTTAAATGGTGGATGTGATGTGTTGAATATACATTAACATACCATCCTGGTCGCTCATTTTTTTAAGAAATATTTTGGGCGCTAATGTCAATAAAAGCTCAGACCGGTGATTATTAAGACCCAACGTATCTCCATAACTTTGGTGCACTAGTAGTATACGACTGGAGTAAAATATCTTGCTACCTACCAACCAGCCTTCCGGCTTATTTAGATACTGGATGGTCAAACCCCTATCGTTAGGAATTACCCCTATCGTTAGGAATTCACTCATAACAACTACTATTGAGAGTATAAAAGATACATTATTAGTATCACTGGCTACAGATTAAAAAGTGTCTTTTTTGCCGTGAAACTTTAAATCGGTTTAACCTTTGCTCTGCTGATTACCACATCTACCAGAATTTGTAATATTTTGTTTATACAAGATGACACTGTGTCGGTTAAAATATACTACTCAGTTTAAACTGAGGTGATTGAGTGTTTTACAAAAATGTCTTTGATATGGTTTGTGTCGATGAACTTTTTTGCATTTTCATCATCTGTAATATTGTAATCGTGGAAGTATTGTTGAATTCAAGTCACGATATCATGATATCGTTACACATTTTGAATCAGCTGTTATGGGAATAGAATTAAAAGATCGTGTCCTTGCATTCGCGACCATGGGCATTTATTGGCATCGTTTTGGTTGAATATTCAATCTACACTGACATGGAAATGTCGAACATGGTTTCATAGTTCAGTAATCATCAGATGGGACGAATGTTTTAGTATAGTATACAACTTTTTGTTGCTTAATTCCAGATATAGTAAATTGTCCAAGCATGGTTTCATAGTTCAGTAATCATCAGATGGGACGAATGTTTTAGTATACAGATTTTAGTATGCCAATGTACCGTTTTGAACCATAAAAAACCGAAACGAAATCATATTGAGTAATCGTTGCTTTCAAAAGAGTTTTTACCCAGTATTTTCTATGGATATCCTACTATTTATTAGGCACAAATCTGACGTTTCTGCGTCCGGATACAGCAAGTGTGTCGGACATCGGTGTCTGAAATCACCTTGTTATATGGGTGTATTAGTAATCAGGAGTGGGAACAAGTCGCCGCATCTCGAATCTGAGTCGTGTCGAGTCCCAAGTCGCTGTCTTTAGTACCGGACCTAGTTGAGTCCCAAGTCGTCACAAAGCTACAGTCTTTCTATGAATATTTTCCGATTAAACTGCCCGACCAACGAGTCTATGGCGAATAAAGCAAGTTAGAGGTATGTCCCTTCACCGCGAATCGAGTCCTTGCCTCTTTTAAGACGGATTTGTCACGACTGTCAAGTCTCGAGTCGCAATAAATATTTCAAGTCAAGTAGCAAGTCGAGTCTTTGGTACGAGTCCCTAGTAGTAATGATATCACAGACAAGTTGTGGACGCCCTGTGGTGTGCCCGTTTATTGTGCCGGAGGTAAGGTTTTGAAAGCAAATATTATTGCCTTTCCACACGTGGTGGCCCCCACTGCTTGGCAGCGCCTATCTGGCGATTTATCTCCCCCAATCTTTACCGTTATACCGGTCTTGGTCTGGCGCGGTTCTCATCTTCGATTTTAATACCGATCATAATCTGTCAAAATTGCTTTTGAGAAAAGCATTATTTATCCGAAAAGTCCAGACTGAATGAGTAAATCGTAGAAAGAACAATCTGTGATTCATGGTCTGTCGTTAACGCTAGATAGAAAGCAATATTTCTAGACGACAGATAGTACATATTAAATTCGATTGGTAATTGGTAAATAATTCAGTTGAGACTGAAGACTATAGGTGATATCGATCAAATAACGATTAATCGATACGATCAATTATCTGAACAACTGTCGTTCCTCTATGTAATCGTAACATAGTTCGGTATATATTTGTAGTATTCCAATTTATTTTTATAATAATAAAGTGAGAATATCACACATGTTGGTTGTTGATAAGTTATAAGACGATCTCTGTCAATAAATCATGGCATGTAGCTGGAGTGGGCATGTCTACTGCCTATTGTTGGTTAATATGATTTATATGGATAATTTATGGCCTGATAAAGAAAGGCCAATAACATTTCTTTAATAAATAAAACGATATTTAAAGATTTTCTTTAAAATTTATGACATATCAATTGATCTCGTGTACTGTTGAAATGTTTGCTTAAATCCTTCAAACTATTCAAACAATGGTTAATTTAACACACGGACTTGACACTTGAGATTTATGAGTTTTTAAATGAAATCCTGTTGATATTCTTTTTCAACAGCAGAGCTAATCTTATATATTAGGAATGAGACGTTTTGATTAAATAGTTTTATGGTTTATAATTACTTTTCCGTATTTACCATTTATTAGTCCGATTCGTGTCCTTTAAAAGACTCAGCTCATGACCCTAACCCTGATTATTATCCCCGATTACTGGTTCACAAATGTGACTTACGATTATCCAGTCGCGTTTGGCAGAGTCATTGGAGACTACGGAGAATAGCCCGCTTACACGAGTAATATTAGTCTTTAGACTGCAATTTGAACTCATCGATTTTAAACGTATACGTTTGTTTCAATGGAAACTATGTGTGGTGATACAATACAGTATTTTCAATCTTTTACATCACATTTTGATTTTTGTACCTTACTAGCTAAATTATCCGGCGTTGCACAGGTAAAAGATTAGTTAAATTTAAATAACGAACAAATCGTCTATTTTATATACAGATAATAAAATATAGCCAATATGTTCCTTTTTTAGAAATACAAACTTACGAAAAACTTCAATTTTAAGACACTGCTTCTTATATTTCCGAAATAATTATAGACGATGACAGACGAATGATGCTGGTAAGTTTTTCGTATTCTGTGCATCTTGTCTGTGTGCGTGATGAATTGTCTTTGATGAATGGAAATAAATAAATTGTGTAACTATTGATAAAGGTCGTCATTGGTCTTTTGTTATTTATAAAAAATAATACATCAGAGAAATGTATAGACTTATATCGTGGTGTTTTGATATTAGGTTCATAGGAAAACGTCTTCAATCTTCTCCTACCAATGTTAAATGGACATGAACATGCAAACTGGAGAACTATAAAACAGATTGATGATATGAAATATTAACCATTCGCCATTTAACAGATAGCGCTCGCCGAATCGTTATATAATGTATGTTCATCTGTTTGACTAGAAAGATAATGTACGACATTCTATGACACCGAACTTCAGATGTCGAACTCTTTTGTAACCGATGTGTTTGGGTTCATAATGGCGTCCATGCTCCAGTTCGTACTGGCTAAAAGTGACTTGGTAAACACGACCCCATGCTGTTTGCCATTGCTCCAGTTCCTCATTTGCTAAAAGTGACTCAATAAACATGACTCCAGTTTCTCTCTGACTAAAAGTGGCTATAAACACATGACTCCATGCTTCAGTTTCTCTTTGGCTAAGAGTGACTAGATACACACGACCCCATGCTGTTTATCTTTGCTGCAGTTTCTTTCTGGCTAAAAATGACTTGATAATGATGACCCTGTGCTGTTTATCATTGCTCCCGTTTCTCCCAGAGAGGCGAGTCTTTTGTGGTAATTTAACATTAGATCCTTCAGTAGGTCTTGTATTCATCTGCTGTATCTGAATATAGCGACATCTACGCAAGCCAATATTAAGCATGATATCCATGGGAGAGTCCATTTTACACTGAAAATATCCATAGGGAAGGGTTTAAATCCTAAATCTAACATAAATTTCCCGATGATGAACTTTCCGTATGTGGAAATGCCCCCCCCCCCCCCACACATGCACAACCGGCCTGTAAATATCCAATCCCGTTATTCTTTGTGATTGTGATATTGTGGCTAGCAATTGTTGTTGTTTTTTTTTTGGGGGGGGGGGGGATAAACGATTCCAGCGGTATTAAGTCAAATGTACTAGAGTAGGACCTTTAAAAGTGTTCAGACGAGTGATATAAGTGATTACAACTTGTTATTAATATTTGTTTACCCAATTGCATCGCCATTTCTTTTATTTTGTCTTCCCCATGTCAAAGAACCCAAACTATTATAGGTTATGGTATTTGCTGTGTATAAACTATAATAATATTGTGAGCACTTGTCGGTGCCATAACGTATAAATACTACGTCTACAGCCAACCTACTTGATATGTAAATAATATTAGCCCTATGTTGATATCCTAATGGCATATGTCTGTCAAAATATTCTAACAGATGTGAGGTGTTAAAAGCTTCTTCCTTCTTCTATCAACAAAGATTA